AATAGTGATAAAAATAAAAAAAAATATTACAAACACAATCTGTGATTTCTGGATCGGGAGAAGGCTAGGTTTATATAGGCACATTACACAGCCAGACGTTTAATGTCGAAGATGTAACAGAAGCTGTGATTTTTAAGCTGCATCTTCATGTTTACTGCAAAAAATTATGTAACAATATAATAAAAATGTAAATACTCGAATAGCAACTGTATGATTTGTATTATTGTTTTGTGAGGAACTAATTTCCAACTTAAAAAACACTAAATGCTCACATCTGTCATAGTTGCAGGGAATCTTACCTGCCTCAGCTTTGCCCAGAGCAACCTTGATTCTCCTCTCTGCTACCTTCAGGATAAACTCAAAGTCCATGACACACACACACAATTGCAAGACGAGCTCCCATTGCCCTCCTTTGAGAAACCCCTCTTAAATCTCCAGGCCTCCCCCAGTGGGGCCTCAGATGTGAGCGCACATCAACACATGCACACAGATACGGCAATTATGTCATGCCAGGCTGTCAACAGGCGAAAGGTTAACACAGACAAGGCTAGACTACCAGCCAGCTCAAGAGTGTGTGAGTGAGAGCGAGAACAAAGGAGCAGAAAGCACAGATACGGAGAAGAGGCACTAAGAAAAGCTACAGAAAGAAAGCACCTTTAAAATATGAGCCGGGCAGTTTTTGTATTTACATTGTTGCCCATTTTAAAAGGTTACATGTCTGAAACTATGTTTGTATGAAAGGCTTTCAGCATTTTCTTTAGTTTCAGGCGTCAGTTCAACAGCAGTCAAACCAAGTTAACGTGTTTTAGTGCAGCCAGTCTGCCACAGGCCTGAGTTACTGGGGCCAAGGAAATCCAGAGAGCTCTATATAGAGAAAGTTAAAGGCCAAGTGAAGAATCAATGAATGCCACAGTGTGCTTAAAAGAGCCAGTGGCAAATTGACCGGCAGATGGGTGAGCATTCAAGGGTAAGCAGGATTTCCAGGACTGAAAATGGAAAATGGACAGGAGGTAAGAGCTTGAGCAGGTTTCAAACGCTGGGAGAAGTCCGATTTGAAACTGGATTGGCAGCTGGTGGTTGTTCCAGCAAGGATCCTCAAGAGATAACACTGTTAAACAAGATGCCTAGATTAGCCTGGAGACTGGAAACAGGAAATGCTCAGATCCAGCCCTGTAGTCAGTGATCCTGCTCTGAAAAGGAGACCACCGGCAGGTGTAGTTCAGCCACGCCCACATCCAGGGAGAGCTGACCATACACACACACTGGGGGGGGGGCAGAAAGGTAAAGGGGGGGGACTGAGTTTCCGTCAAGTCTGTTATCATTCAGTCTGTGAAAACACTTCTCTGCGGAGCCTTTGATGCCCTGCTGCTCTCCAAGTGCACTTGGGGAAATAACACTCAGCACCCTCTCCTGAAATACATGCACCCACCCACACACACACACACACACACACACACCTCATTTGGAAAATTGTGGAGCTCTTGCCCCTGAACATACAGTACTTACACCACAACGGTGATGCCTATTGAGAATTTTGAGTTTAGAGTTTTCTTTTAACCATTCGTTGGACCATACAGTGACTCCTTTTAGTTAACTTGACATCGGTACTGTCTTCTAAATCAGGGAACTAAAAACAGCCAATTAGTACTAGATACTCATCCAATATTTATAAGTAGTACAGACATTTTTATATTTAATATAAAGCTTTCTGCTTTGCAACAACTATTATCACAATTGGTCACAATAAAAACACCCTCATTAAGTATATTACATCATTCCATAGCTATTCTCGCCTGGCACAGACAGCAAAAGCGTTTTTTCCCCAAAAGAAACAGAAAACGTTCCCTAAAAAACGGAAACATCTGAAGAAACAAGCTGCAAATAAAACTATGGACATTGCTTTTGACTGGAAAGCTTCCCTGATATCTTGCTTTGAACTTTAGTTAAGTTAAAAATACGTTTTTACTACCAATATTTAAAAAATAAAGAATTGGCGAAAATGATTAAATAAACAATTTGATCTAAACCTCACGCAGCAGTCAAAGCTTTGTGGAACTGGGGCTGTGCTCACAATTTAACAAGGCACCATCAATGACAAGTCTTATGCACAAAGACCAACAAAAACCTGTGTGTGTACCCCTTCAGGCAACAAATAAATACCAGCCTTTTTTTTTTTAAAACACAATACAGAAGATTAAAGTGACTGTACTTTTTCCTTGCGCAGTGTGACGTACGTGATGAGTTCAGGGAAAGAGCAGAGCAGGCCAGCAAAGTCATCCATCTTTCTGCAGACTCGGTGTGTTTGGACAATGAGGCCATGAACTAATGAGCTCACTCACACACACATCTGAACCAAACCCTCGGGGGGACTTCAGAGGACAGATGTCACTGTGGCTGCCACCGTTTTGTCAACTCATCCTCTTTTAACAAAGATTGACAGAAAGGAAAACACGCACAAATTTGATTTCTTGCCAGCTTGAAGAAAACTTGAGTGCCGACTGATCCCAGAACCTGCATTCTAACGACAGGTCTCTGCATGGGTAGACTTAACGGTGTGGAAACTAAAGATAAAACAATCAGATGCTATATTTAAACTCCTCAAATATTCTGTGTGTTTGTCTGAAGCTAACCTGAGGTGGCACAAACTGCACTGCTGCCCTCTGAAGTTTAAATAAAATATAAAGCATGATGCCCTAATGGCAATTCTCTGAAGAGTGCAGGCAGGCGAGTGTGTGTGTGTGTGTGCGCAGGCAACATGTGCTATATAAAAGGTGAATGTTTCTATCTGGGCCACACCACCTGGGAAAAGCCATTGAGTAACACTGTGCCTTGCTGCTTTAAACATGAATGAAACTGGTGGCGAAAGTGGTGAGAGTCCCATTGACAATTTATTTTCTGGTGTTTCTGACATACAATGATTCAAAACAACAGGACCAAATCACTGACCACCTTTGGAGGAACACTACTTGCCACCATCAAGACAAGCTGCTGAACCAGCCTCGTCCCAGTGTGAGGCTGGCAGCGACTGCTGGGGGGGAAAAAGCACGACTTTCTGTTGAGGATGCTGGTGAGAGGTTGTGTCTTTCTGAGGTGGTGTGTGTTTGTGTGCGGGGGTGGGTGAGATAACATTTCATCAGTTCATCTGCAAACATGACAGAAGTCATACAAGAGCCAAGCTTTTGAGCAACTGTTTACAGTCAGTCCAACAAACTGTGGTCGGCATGGCGACAGATATCAATAGATACATGAATGAATAACAAAAGAAGGCGATGACTTAAGCAGTCCCAATGAGTCGAGATAATTGTGTGATTAATCTCTCCTTTGCAGAGGACCTTTCCTCTCAGGCTGTGGGTAAAGGTTACTGCAGTTAAACAATCGGCACAGTAACACCTTCCTCAGTTAAACACGGCACAGCTTATCAACGGCTCACCAAAAGCCCATTAAACTGTATCTCAAAACAGTCCATTCACCTCAAAAACGCATGTATGGTTTAGTTACATTGTTCAAACTAACTTCTGTGCATTAAAGTGCAGCACACGTCTTCCCTCAAACCAAATATGTCTTACCTTAAGCCGGTTCCTCAACTAATAAAAGCCATAAAACTTTTCACACACAATTAATACAGTCCAGAGGAAAAATGTTAAAGATATTTACATGACACCCTGGAATTTGCTCTCTGGTGTTTTGGCATGAAAAGAAAATAGTTTTAAAGCCATAAAAACTGCCCAGTAGCATCTTTCCAACAGGTCCTTCCACCTTTATCAACGATTTTTCTCTTAATCGAGAAGACTCATCATTTATCTGGTGCTGAGCACAAGACACCTTTTTTTAAAATGGCTTATTTTTCATTATACATTTAGAGACCTGACAAAGGGCTAGGCAATTTATAATTTTGCCATCCAAACAAGTAAAAGTCCAAAATGCTTAAAGCCTGTTTTACTTAAGTCATTTCAAATGCTGCAACACAAAGGCTGTGAAAACCGGTAGCTGTCCGTGGTGCTGAAATGTTTTGCTCACCCGCCCTTTTCACACACCTGCTCCAAAGCACAGCTCCTTGAAAACATTCACAACAAGATAAATATGACAGTCTGAAAGTCAAGGACGAAAATAAAACCCCATTTAAGGCTGAGCTCATCATGCATCCAGTACAGCCACAGCATGTTTTCATTGTTCTGTTATTTATTGCTTTCACTTATTAGCTTGTCACTTAAGTCTCTCTGATGAAGAATTATGTACAAATGTGAGTGTCTGCATAATATAAACTATGTTTGTCTTTTGGTTTTTCGTGGTTTGGAGGACACAGCGAGCAAAGCTTATGAAAACTCTCAGCGGGGCATCTTTCTGCATCGTGTGTCTCGGCTTCCCTTTGATTGTGATCCTGTCTGAGACTTAGAGGCATTACAAGTTTTGTTCTTGGTGCCAAATGATATAAGGGCAGATTATAACAACAGTTTAAGAGAAGACAGAAGAGTGCAGATATCTTATCTGGTGACATGTTTGTCAGGAGTCTTCTGGCAGAACTAACTGAACTGAACGGGCAGTGCTGTCTGTCCTCTCTGGGGAGAGTTGCTTGGACCTGTTGGTGGCTTAAAACTTCCATTGCAGATGTTGCCTCCAGCTGTGTCATGCTTGCTGTATAGGGTAAGAAGCAGCTCAAGAGGGGGAAAGTTGTGATTAAAACTGAGGTAAAAGGTGGCCCACTGAAGCTCCGCTGGGTGGTGTCATGCTCAGACTTCAGCCACCGGAGAAGATTTGTTTGTTTTCACCACACTGTGTCTGAAATGTCCGCAGCTGTGGCAGACAAACACTTGAGGACCATCTTCCCTCTTCCCCACAGCAGGTACGGCCACAGATGACATCTTAAGCAGACCACGTGCTGCTCAATCACGCAGGTTACTGAGGCCAGAGCAGGTCTGCATGCTGCATTAGACTTGGTTTCTGCAGCATCCCCTCCGCACACAGCACATAGTGCCACTCCACTCAGGATCTGTGCTCATAAGTTACCCCCCCATCCCGTCCTTCCCCTCCCTGTAGTGCTCCCACTTGCTGCACAGCTGCGATTGCAGAGAAACACCAGCAACCAGTCGAACAGTGCAGTCTCAAGAGGCAACACACACACACACACATAACCCCCAATAAAGTGTTTTCTATCCCCTCCGCACGCGCATGTAAGCACGCAGAAAAACCCCCCCAGAGGCGCACTCAAACTCACCAGTTGGGTTCTTGTTTTTCTTGAGGCTCCTGCCACAAAGACACTGCAGCATATGCGATCCTTTGCTGAAAATGTTGTTCCAAATAAACCGCATGGATTTGGCTGAGACGGGGAAGGAGGAGGAGGAGGAAGAACGGGGGGTGGAGGAAGATGAGGTGGGGGGCGAGAGGCGCTCCGGATGCGGCAGCCTAAAATTCACCCACCGCATGGGGGCTGATCCACCCCCCTGTTTGCATGCCAGCAGAGCCGGCCAGCTGTTGGGCTCAGTCCGGTGGTGCTTCGCCCCCCCAACCTGCACCATAGACAGGAGCAGGAGCAGGAACAGGAAGCCCGGCTCCTCGCCCGCTTTGCCCACCAGCTCCGAGACCACCAACCGCACGTATTCCGCGTCGACGTCGTCCGCGTGCGGCAGGAAGAGAGCAACCGCTGCGGCGCCGCTCTCCTCGGGCTCAGAGTCGCGCTGCCCCGGCGGCCGGTGGTCTTCAGCCGTGGAGGGGCGGTCACTGCTGCTGCCGCCGCCCGCCCGCCGCGGCCAGAAACCCCCCCGAGCGCTCCTCTCCGAATGGCGTCGTGTGGCGCGCGGCGCGGGGCGCGGAGCGGCGGCGGCGGCCGGCGGGCATGCGGCGGCGGCGCTAGCGGGGAGTCGGCGGTACGCGGCAGCTGGCGGCTTCTGCACAAAAAACCATTGCATATTAGTGAAGGATCGCAGGGGGTCGATGCGTCCGTCCGTCCGGGAGGAAGGGTGGGAAGGAGGGGGGGGGTGCGGGGAACTACCAGCTGTCCGTCAGCAAGTCGGTGGCATCACTCTACCCGCTCAGCAGGAAAGTGCTGCAGCAGGGGGGCTCCTTTCCAAACACACACACTGTACACACTGGCTGGATGAAAATCCCTTTTTTTTTCCAGCAGCTCTGCTATTGGTCTCTGGCCAGTGTGTGCGCACGCAGCGCCGGACCGGGCAGGTGAATCACTGCAAGGAATCTCAGCACCGTCCAGCCTTACGTTTTCCTCTGGAAGGAGTCCTTATGAATATTTGATCCGCGCTCCGGCCTTCACTTCTCAATAATCCATAAGCTCCAATGCGCCAAGATCCTGCTGCTGTCTGCCTGTCTGCTCTTCCTCTCTGTTCTCCCCTCCTCCTACTCTTCCTCACCTTGGCAGTGAAGAGAAGCTGCTGGAATGTGGCTCGGCAGCCTTGACAAGTCCAGAAACTACGTGGGAAAGACGCAGCACGCCGGGTGAACGCCTCGTGGCTGTCCAGCTGTGTTGTCCGGCCTCTGGCTCTTCTGCAGGAGCTCATGAGACGGCCGTCCGGCGGTTTGGTGCTGGAGGTGAATTGACTGTCGATATCGAACAGCCACTCAAGTGAAAGCAGTCCCGTAAAAAACATTAAGAATTTGTTCCGCCCTGCAACTTCAAAATAATAGATTGATGGCTCAGTCTGTCCTTTCAAACGTTTAGGAAGTACTTTCGCACGTTCCAGTCTCCCAGCCTCCTATTTTCTCAAATGAAACTGCCCTATACTCTTCGTGCCTCACCATTTCTCCTGTGTTCTTATCTGAAAATAAGTATTATACTCCTAAAGTATGAGTTGAAATATTTATGACATACTTTTCAATAATTGTTGTTAAGAAATAAAATATTGGATGCAAAAATGTTTCTTTTGCCATCCTAAATGAGAGTAGGTATGACTTATGAAAACTTTAAAGAAGGCTGATCAAGATCCTGACTTTATATGTGAGACCAGGTGATAAACTAGGCCTTCTTTGTCTTTTGTACAGTAGCTGTGAGCAGAAAACTCTGAAAAAAGCGTTTATTCTGAAGATAAAATAAACAGCTTCCGGTTTTCTCGACCTGTTTGCTGCAGTCCTGTTAAAAAAAGTAGCTTCCAGTTAATGCAAGCACGTGCTTCTCACTCCTTCTTATCAGACCGGCAACGTTTTGGAAAGGGGGGGGGGGGGAATGAGAGTACCAAACTATGTGAAACAGTTTCCTTTTCCAGCCTCCACAAAACTGCTTCTGCACCAAACTGCACAATCTGACAGCATAAGCTACATATGCAGGCACCTGTTGCTTGAGTCCTTTGACACGTGCCTTTTTCTGGCATTTGGTTTACAGGCATGAACCACAACAAGCAGCACTTAGAATTACGCCCATGAAGCTGCTGCTATGGGTTTTGGAATGTGATGTTTTGTGGAGTCAAAAGCTACATCATGCATATCGATGGATTATCAATGGTCTACTCTTGGCAGGAAACTGCCAGAAGAAGCTGAACTTAGTGCTGCAGTGGCTGGTTTGGTTTTTGTTTTCCATCTAAGCTGGAGCTGGCGCTGTCCAGAGTGCTGAATCCCCACAGACTGCTCATAGCAGGCCAGAGGAAGCTGGTCAGTGGAGACCTCAGTGACCTCACTGCATGTCCCTTAGCTAACCACGTCTTAAAGTGGGGAGATGGTCCACTTTAAATCACAATCTTAACAGTTTTGGGCAAAAGAAAAACATTACAAAAAAAGCAACTGCTTCATATCAGAGCTGAATACGAAGCTTTAAAAAACAGGAACATCTCCAACTAAGTTTTCCTTCAGCGGTACTCGTGATGGAGTCAGTGGAGGGTTGGTTGGCCACCATTTAAAATTAGGAATCCCCCACCCCAACAGTTTGATACATCAGGAGGCAACCAACTACTTAAAGTGCTGTTTGTCACTGGCTCTCAGCCTGAAAACACACCACTCAGAAAGCGCTCTCACTTCAGAGATCATCTCTTATGTGGCACATGCACCACATCCAACTCAGTCTGCAGCAGCAGCAGCAGCTGCTCACCCCGTTACAGTGAGGAGGGTTTGCATCACCTCTCCAGTCCACTTTCCCGTGTTTGATCTCTTCCTCATCCAGTGTCACTGCAGGCAGAGTGTGTGCTCTGCACTCAAACCGACACTGTACACGTGCATGCAGCCCTCTCACTCCTTAAAGCTGAAGCAGCTTTCTTATAGTTTACTCTGACAGCAATCAATACTTGATCTTTTTAGAGTACAAGTTGTGGCCGAGATGTAAAAAAGCATTTGACAGTTGTCCGTTAGGAAGAGACACACGAGCTCACCATGTTGAGGACTCATTGTGGAGCAAAGCTGATTTTTTCCCACCTAATATAACTGATCTAAAATAAATGCATACAATTTTAAAAGAATCATTTGCTCCATCAGTACAGGCAAACCGTGCTGGTCCAGGTTAAGGCTCCCACCTTGTTGGCCTGCATGTGGACAAGGCTGGTGCTCACAATTCTGATGGTGGATTTACAAAAATGGGCCCATGTCAGAAGACATTGCTGTCACGACATGACGCTAGATGATCAATGTGTTTATCGCCCCCCCCCCCCCCCCCCCAATTTAAAAATTAAAGAAGTAAAAACCTCCAAGAAACAAATGTTTTTGAGATGTCCATTTACAAACCAATCAGCATTACTAAGAGCTTGATTTTGACTGCCTTTATTAGAAAATACATCTATAAATAAATACTCGGAAGGTAAAAAAATTGGATGGGATTAACATGAATTGCCACCCAGAGTAAAATAAAGTCTACCTGCTGCTAAATCAGACCAGCTGCATCTGGGCCGCGGCTCTGAAGAGCCAAACCCACGTGGCAGTACTCCCCCTAGTGGACATATGTGCTAACTGCACCTGTGTGGTGGCGTGCACCACATCGGTTTTCAGTTCGTGGGACGTTATTAACTTCCATGGCCCTTCTAGTTCAGTGTATATGCTTTCTAGAGCTAAAACTAATTTGTTTTCATTGCAACCATAACCCTTGTGCCCGGCAAATGCTGTGTAATGAAGACCTGAAGTTATGACACCACCATGAACACCCAATCGTGTTTTCTGTCCATGGCTCTGGGAGAACATGGGCCGTTCTGGTAAAGCACAGACATTCAGGAAAGCTTTAAACAGGCCCCCCGTGGAAAATTAAAAATACATTAAAGTGCAACCTCCAAACAACAACTATAAACCATGAAAATTCGATGGTACTCAAACTCTACAAGCACAAAGGTATGTCCTACTTTAAGTTGCTTCATTTGTTGGAGCCTATTCATTTGTCTTGTTTTCGAGATAATTGCATGAAGTTACAAACTTAATATTTTGCAGTTTTGAAGGGAGATTGTCGTCATTGAAAGCTTTGGGATGAATGGAGCTTCGTTCCTAGAATGATTATTTGTTTAGAGCCTCCATGTTGCATTGGAACCGTAACCAAGTGATGTTTCAGTTTGGAATTATT